GTAGCATCTCGCAACACCCGGGCTACGCGCATCTCTGCCGGGGCGCTCGCATGGGCTTCGCGTGTCGCCGCAACACATTCCACCGCCGAAAAGGACATGCGTCCCTGCACGGAGAATCTACCAACGGCAGGGCGCACACGCACGCCTGTATGCGCGACGCGGGCAGTTGTCTGCCTGGAAACCCACCCGCAGGGCAGCACGCAGGCCGGTGCCGCTCCCGGGAGATCTTCGAGTCAATGCGCGGGGCGAGACTCGTGTGTCCGCCAACGGGATGTCGTGCCCGCGTGTCGTCAGCGCGCGATCTCCACCGCAAGTGTCAGCAAATGATCCCGCCCCCTGGTCCTGTCCCGAGCGAGGCGGCGGCATGACGCGGTCTGCTCGGCGGGACACGCACTCTGCATGTCGCGCCATCTGCGCTGTCTGCCTGCGGTGGGGCGAGTGTACAAGCCCGCCGCGCGCATCCCCGCCGGGGCGCTCGCCAGGACTTCTCGTGCGCCCCAACGGCGTCTTCCCTACCCGCGCACACCAGAGGTATATCCCAGCACAGAGAACCCGCCGACGGCAAAACGCGTGCGTTTCGCACGCGCGACGCGGACATTCCTCCCTGGCAACCCGTTCGCAGGGCCGGGGTCGCTCCCGGGAGAAAGATATTTACTCGATGCCTAGCACGGCATCCGCGCGTCCTGCCGCTGGACACCGTAACCGCGCGCTGCTCGCACGCGCAATGACCGCGGGCCCAGGCCCGGGCACCGCATGTCCGAACGTCCCCGCACGGCGGGGGTGCGCAACAAGAGTGCTCCTTTGCACGCATTCCCGGTCGCGAGCGAGACGGCGCCATCTGCACGGCAGAGAACGCGTGCTTTGCACGTCGCGCGGTTCGCGCAGTCTGCATGATGTGGGAGGTGCAGTGCGATGATTGCAAGCTCGCCCTCACCCTCTACGATATTGGCATGCGGCGCGCAGGATAGGAATATCCTGCGTGAACGAGAATACGCAGGCGTGTGAGCAAGATGGCGCGGCGGCTATCGGCAGCGCGAGTCCAGTCGGGAAGCGAGATCACACCAGGGGCGCGCCGGGGCTACCTTGTGCGGCGTTTGGATGGTGTCAAGACTGCGGGCGCGTTGGTAGCGGTCAGCAGGTGCGTTCGTCGTGGTCTGCAGGCGCGTTCGTCGCGGTCGGCACGGGGACATCTGATGACATGGTCTGACAGTGCGCCACCCCGGTCACAGCGGGGCGGCACCGGGCGACAGTCTGGCATGCGTGCAACCAAGGGCCGCCTCTGTCCTTGTTTCGACTGCTGTGTACCGACATCACAGGCGTGCTGGTCGTCGGAATGGACGGTGCCTGTGGTGCATAGAATTGACGTTTAGGTGATCTGGTTTGCCAGAGAGCGGGAGAGGGGTTCGCGCTCAGTGCGTGAACATCTGAGGAAATGAGGCGGCGGGGCCCCACGGCGTGCCACTCTGGTCACGGCGGGCATCACAATGAGCTCGCGGGTTCCTATAATGAAGAAGAGTGCAGGATGGTGACAGGGGTAAAATCATGGCGCGTTCGTGTATCAATACCAACGGCCTGCGCTCGCACTCTTTGGTTGCGCAGGAATGTAGCGCATTGAGCAATCGAAGCGAACTCGTGCGGAATGGCAGCTTGAGACGATGCACAACAAAATGCCACGAGAGGCTGTTTGCTAACACACTGTATTAACGCCACATTACGTCCCTGCGCCATGTCTTGTGCATGGCACAAGCGATCGTCTTTCTCCGTGCGCGATCATGTTTGGCTCCTCGAGCGAATGACGAGGCCACGACGAGTCTCAAACGCGAAATGCATGAATACCGGACGCACTGCCTGGTCACAATTCACTGCCCGTTTGTTCAGATTCTTCACTTTGATACACACACGGCCCGCTCGCAGCTCGCTTCCACCTCTCCTCCATACAGGTGTCAACCACTCGGTGCGTACATACCCGCCTCCTGCCTGCACGCTGCCAATGACCAATCGATCACACAGTCTTTGGGCTGTGTCGTCGGGGACCTCCGCAGAGAAGCAGGTGTTCAAGGCGGCCGTGCGTGCGCTGCAGCGCAAGCGGGACGGCGCAGGCATGGCGCATGTGGGCCGAGCCTGCCGTGTTGCCCGACGTCGCGGCGTCCTTCGTGCTGCCACTGCTCGCGGACGCGAGCGCAGGTGAGATGGCTCCAAATGCAGTGTTCCATGCGCTGCTGCGCGTGTCGGCGGCATTTGTGTATGTGAGCTGGGGGCGCTCTCCCGCTGAGTGGCACGCTGCTGGACATGCGCACAGACACGGCAGATTACGTGCGCCTGGAGACACTCTGGAGGACCCCTCTTGTACGTCACCCAGCCGGTCGTTCCTTACCCGCCGCTCACTATCTACTCGCAACCGCGTATTTACCAATCAGCTCGCTACTCCCGCCGCCCGCCGCCCGCCACTCGCCACTTGCTGCCCGACAACCTGGCATCTAGACGACAGCCCCCAACTGCGCCTGCATCCAACCGCCGCCAGTGCTTCAGACCGATGACAAGAGCACAGATTGTCTGCATCGTTGCGGTGGAATCACTCGGGCAAGCCAGCTTGCCGCAATGCACAGATGGCGAGACACCATGGCCTACAGATGACACATCTCGGTAAGCACTTGCATGCGAACCTGCGCGGATGTAGGATGTGATGTTCTGGTCAGTCGGCTGTCACTTCTCGCCTGACGAGGGACAACTGTGCTATCAGACATCACTACAGTGCACTGACTCCATGTATTCAGTATGCAATATGCTCCGACCGACATCTAGTGAGTCTGGCTGATGCGCACCGCACAGGGAAACAGGCTACCGTCAGTAGCCCTACCGCTGCGTACACAGTGAGTGACGTTATATGATACTCCAAAACAATATGACGGCAGCCCACCTGACCAGCGTCGAGCCACGCAGCCACGCAGCCACACAGCCATGCAGCCAATATAGTCGGGACGGCGGATGAGAAAGGCAACAGATGGGGCACATCGCGAATGATGGCATGGCAGAAGACGAGCCATAAACCATGCAGGAATCTCTGATGACACCTGCCTTGAATCCCTCACACGCTCCCCCGGCCTGTTCTCACGGCTGAGGCACGGCCCTTGT